AATAAAAATAAATTTAAAAATAAATCTAATAATAATATGTGGGCAATAATCATATGTTTTTGGATATAATAGAACTAATCCAGCTAGAGAAGTTATGATAAAAAAATTAATTTTTTAAAGAAAGTTCTAGTTATACACTAGTACTATTACTATGTATGCAGAACTAACACTATACGTAGAACTCGAATCATTTGGGTTTAGCCGCACGTCTCTAAAGACGGCTAAACCCGAATGATTCTAGTTCTAGATATAGTGTTAGTTCTAGTTTTACACTTACATTGTGTACACCTATTAAAAAAACGATATCTACATAAAATTTCGCTTCATTTAAGTTCAAACATCGTTTTAACTCTTGCGTTAGTTCTTGTGATAGTGCAAAACTAGAACTAAAAACATTCAAGATTAATGATTTTAATCTATCTGTTTTGCTTTTTGAGATAAATGCATCATGTTTGGACACATTTTAAAAGTTTTTTAATAAAGAATACATCATGAAAGAAGACCATGAAGTTGCCCATTTGTCTATTATATGATAACTAACTTCAATTTTGACATATTTGTAATCTTCATTAAAAATCCTTTAAACTGAGTACAAACACGACGTATTTATCTTCAATATTAATGAAGTCAACTTCCGGTTAGAAATGTCAACGTCAATTTTGACATATTTGTAATCGTGGTGAAAAATCCTTTAAAATGAGCCCAAACATGATACGTTTAATTCCAATATTACACGAGACATAAGCAACTTCCGGTTTGAAATGTCAATGTCATCTTGATATATTCTTAATTTTATGAAATATCTTAAAATTTGTCACAAAAACAAAAATATAATAAAAAAATCAGAAATTACGGTTGGCATTAATATTTAAAAATTAAATTGTTGTTAACTTCGGGTTTAATGTTTTTTATTCTAACTTTTTTGTTTTTTGAGATAAGTATGTCATGTTTGGACTCATTTTAAAGGTTATTTTATAGAGATTACGAATATAATAATAAAATTAAAGTTGCCATTGATAACTAACTTCAGGTTTAAAATGTCAAGTTCAATTTTGACATATTTGTAATCTTCATTAAAAATCCTTTAAAATGAGTACAAACACGACATATTTATCTTCAATATTAATGAAGTTATGGTCAACTTCCGGTTAAGAATGTCAACGTCAATTTTGACATATTTGTAATCGTCGTGAAAAATCCTTTAAAATGAGTCCAAACATGATACGTTTAATTCCAATATTACTCGAGATATAAGCAACTTCCGGTTTGAAATGTCAATGTCATTTTGATATATTCTTAATTTTTATAAAATGTGTTAAAATTTGTCACAAAAACAAAAATTTTATAAAAAAAATCAGAAATTAAGGTTGGTATTAATATTTAAATATTAAATTATCATCTTCATTGTTGCTAACTTCGGGTTTATGTTTTGTTATTCTAACTTTTTTGTTTTTTGAGATAAGTACGTCATGTTTGGACTCATTTTGAAGGTTTTTTAATGAAGATGACAAATATGTCAGAGTTGACGTTGACGTTTCAAACCAGAAATGATCATATCTTCATTAATATTAAAATTAAATATGTCGAGTTTGGACTCATTTTAAAAGATTTTTTATGAAGTTGACAAATATGTCAAAATTTTAGTTAAAAGTACCAACTTTTTTGTTTTTCGAGATAAATGCGTTATCTTTGGACTCATCTTAAAGGTTTTTTAATAAAGAATACATCATGAAAGAACACCATGAAGTTCTCCATTTGTCTATTATATGGCAACTAACTTCAGGTGTAAAATGTCAAACCTCAATTTTGACATATTTGTAATCTTCATTAAAAATCCTTTAAAATGAGTACAAACACGACATATTTATCTTCAATATTAATGAAATTATGGCCAACTTCCGGTTAGAAATGTCAACCTCAATTTTGACATATTTGTAATCGTCGTGAAAAATCCTTTAAAATGCGCCCAAACATGATACGATTAATTTTATTCCAATATTGCTCGAGATATAAGCAACTTCCGGTGTGAAATGTCAATGTCATTTTGATATATTCTTAATTTTTATAAAATGTGTTAAAATTTGTCACAAAAACAAAAATACAATAAAAAAAATAAAAAATTAAGGTTGGTATTAATATTTAAAAATTAAATTGCTATCTTCATTGTTGCTAACTTCGGGTTTTATGTTTTTTATTCTAACTTTTTTGTTTTTTGAGATAAGTACGTCATGTTTGGACTCATTTTAAAGGTTATTTTATAGAGATTACGAATATAATAATAAAATTAAAGTTGCCATTGATAACTAACTTCAGGTTTAAAATGTCAAGTTCAATTTTGACATATTTGTAATCTTCATTAAAAATCCTTTAAAATGAGTACAAACACGACGTATTTATCTTCAATATTAATGAAATTATGGTCAATTTCCGGTTAGAAATGTCAACGTCAATTTTGACATATTTGTAATCGCCATGAAAAATCCTTTAAAATGAGCCCTAACATGATAGGTTTAATTCCAATATTACACGAGATATAAGCAACTTCCGGTTTGAAATGTCAATGTCATTTTGATATATTCTTAATTTTGTAAAATTTCTTAAAATTTGTCACAAAAACAAAAATATAATAAAAAAAATCAGAAATTACGGTTGGCATTAATATTTAAAAATTAAATTGTAGCTAACTTCGGGTTTAATGTTTTTTATTCTAACTTTTTTGTTTTTTGAGATAAGTACGTCGTGTTTGGACTCATTTTAAAGGTTATTTTATAGAGATTACGAATATAATAATAAAATTAAAGTTGCCATTGATAACTAACTTCAGGTGTAAAATGTCAACCTCAATTTTGACATATTTGTAATCTTCATTAAAAATCCTTTAAAATGAGTACAAACACGGCATATTTACCTTCAATATTAATGAAATTATGGTCAACTTCCGGTTAGAAATGTCAACGTCAATTTTGACATATTTGTAATTGTCGTGAAAAATCCTTAAAAATGAGCCCAAACATGATACGTTTAATTCCAATATTACTCGAGATATAAGCAACTTCCGGTTTGAAATGTCANAAAATCCTTTAAAATGAGTACAAACACGGCATATTTACCTTCAATATTAATGAAATTATGGTCAACTTCCGGTTAGAAATGTCAACGTCAATTTTGACATATTTGTAATTGTCGTGAAAAATCCTTAAAAATGAGCCCAAACATGATACGTTTAATTCCAATATTACTCGAGATATAAGCAACTTCCGGTTGGAAATGTCAATGTCATCTTGATATATTCTTAATTTTATGAAATGTCTTAAAATTTGTCACCAAAACAAAAATATAATAAAAAAAATCAAAAATTAAGGTTGGTATTAATATTTAAAAATTAAATTGTTGCTAACTTCGGGTTTGATGTTTTTTATTCTAACTTTTTTGTTTTTTGAGATAAGTACGTCATGTTTCGACTCATTTTAAAGGTTATTTTATAGAGATTACGAATATAATAATAAAATTAAAGTTGCCATTGATAACTAACTTCAGGTTTAAAATGTCAAGTTCAATTTTGACATATTTGTAATCTTCATTAAAAATCCTTTAAAATGAGTACAAACACGACATATTTATCTTCAATATTAATGAAGTTATGGTCAACTTCCGGTTAAGAATGTCAACGTCAATTTTGACATATTTGTAATCGTCGTGAAAAATCCTTTAAAATGAGCCCAAACATGATACGTTTAATTCCAATATTACTCGAGATATAAGCAACTTCCGGTTTGAAATGTCAATGTCATTTTGACATATTCCTAATTTTTATAAAATATGTTAAAATTTGTCACAAAAACAAAGATATAATAAAAAAAATAAAAAATTAAGGTTGGTATTAATATTTAAAAATTAAATTGCTATCTTCATTGTTGCTAACTTCGGGTTTAATGTTTTTTATTCTAACTTTTTTGTTTTTTGAGATAAGTGCGTCATGTTTGGACTCATTTTAAAGGTTATTTTATAGAGATTACGAATATAATAATAAAATTAAAGTTGCCATTGATAACTAACTTCAGGTTTAAAATGTCAAGTTCAATTTTGACATATTTGTAATCTTCATTAAAAATCCTTTAAAATGAGTACAAACACGACGTATTTATCTTCAATATTAATGAAGTTATGGTCAACTTCCGGTTAGAAATGTCAACCTCAATTTTGACATATTTGTAATTGTCGTAAAAAATCCTTTAAAATGAGCCCTAACATGATAGGTTTAATTCCAATGTTACACGAGATATAAGCAACTTCCGGTTTGAAATGTCAATGTCATTTTGATATATTCTTAATTTTGTAGAATGTCTTAAAATTTGTCACCAAAACAAAAATATAACAAAAAAAATCAAAAATTAAGGTTAGCATTAATATTTAAAAATTAAATTGTAGCTAACTTCGGGTTTAATGTTTTTTATTCTAACTTTTTTGTTTTTTGAGATAAGTACGTCATGTTTGGACTCATTTTAAAGGTTATTTTATAGAGATTACGAATATAATAATAAAATTAAAATTGACATTGATAACTAACTTCAGCTTTAAAATGTCAACCTCAATTTTGACATATTTGTAATCTTCATTAAAAATCCTTTAAAATGAGTACAAACACGACATATTTATCTTCAATATTAATGAAGTTATGGTCAACTTCCGGTTAGAAATGTCAACGTCAATTTTGACATATTTGTAATCGTCGTGAAAAATCCTTTAAAATGAGCCCAAACATGATACGATTAATTCCAATATTACTCCAGATATAAGCAACTTCCGGTTTGAAATGGGTTGCTAACTTCGTGTTTAAAATTTTTTATTCTAACTTTTTTGTTTTTTGAGATAAATGCATCGTGTTTGGACTCATTTTAAAGGTAATTTTATAACGATTACGAATATAATAATAAAATTAATGTTAACATTAACACCTGAAAGTGTGAAAAGAACTTTTAATTAAATTTATAAAAATTTACCTCGTTCGGTTTAATTTCCCCACATCTCGGTTCGACTTGGATCAAATTATTATCGCAGAAAATCTCGAATTGCCCCACGATTAATTTTTCTCCCTTTTTCGTTGGTTTCGGCGGCGTGGAAGTCAGCCCAACGTTGAACATTGAATAAGATCCGCAAGGTGTGTTGGGTAAAATTAACCATTCGTGGCTTAATTTCGACCAATTCTCCGTTAATTCGCAAACGAAGTAAATTGAGTCACGTTTTAAACTTTTATCGATAGAAATTAAGCTTGTTAAGTGCCTCGAAATCTCGTTCGATTCCGCTGATTGAGTAATTTCGAAAGTAATAGTATTTTCTTCTTCCACTCGATATTCTTCGTCTTCGGCGTGTTGTAAATATTTTATGTTTTCGAGGTACATCATAAATTCTTCATCGTTTTTTAACCGAATCAAAGAATTATTCATTTCCGTTTCTAAGACATCCTCTTTTTTGGATTGATTCAAAACGGATTCCATTAAATTGAGCGTTTTTTTATAAGCTTTTAAATCAAATTTCTAAAATTTCAAATTTAATTATAATTAAATTTAAATAATGAATTAGAATTATGAATACCTTTTCAACAGAACCCAATTGCTTAATCGTTGTTATGGTTAACTTGAAAAACAAAACTTTCGAGGTTGTGGAAACGTTTGCCAAATCTTCTTTTTCCAAGCAGATATAAACCTTTAAAATTTTTGATTGGAGTGGTTCTATAACGCCAAATCCGTAATTTGGGGAAATATTTACGTACTGAAATGTAATAATAATAATCAATATGCGTTTTTGTATGTTATATGTTGTTAATTTTTAGGTTAGAAATTTTTATAAATGTCAAAATGTAAAGTTAAAACAGTTGGCAACATCAACAGGGAATTTTGTTTTGTCAAGTTTTAAAACTATCATGTGTCAAGTTGACGTTTAAACTTTATTTAGTTATTTAAAAGATAAAATTTAGTTTTCGGTTCAATATTTAGATATAAACAATTCAAATCAAATAAAAATGTCTTAACATCAATTATTAATTGTTAAAAATGTAATTAAAAGCTTTGCAATTAATATCATACCAACCCAAAAAATGAAAAAAAAATAAAACTTTCGTAGAAAATGAATTAAGTCGGTTTAAAAAAAAAACTAATTATTAATAATTAAATTTAATAAATTAAAAACATAAATAACGATGCTGACCATAAATTTCAAAGATTTTAGTACTTGGAATCAAAATTGAAATAAAAAATTGATGTAAAAAATGATTTTGATGTTTTTTGAAACTGCTCCAAAAATACAAGGAGGTAAGGATTCAAATTGACTTTTTTTAGTCGATTAAACCAAAGAAAATTTGACAAAACCATACTGAACCGTACTATTCAGAGGGAAATTGAAATTGCGTTATTTTGAAAAATTTTCTTAATGAAAATTGTTTATAATTTACTTCTAAATAAATATTGTTTATACAAAATTTCGATTCGATCAATAATTATTGAGATAACCTCAAAAATGCCAATTTGTGTGAGTGTAGAGTGCCACCTGCATTTTGAACAAATATTATTTGAAACATTTTTCGATAAAAACAATAATAACTTTGAAATGTCTTAAATTGCATTTGACATTAGATACCGTACTATTCACAGGGAAATTAAAATTGCGTTATTTTGAAAAATGTTATTAATAAAAATTGTTTGTAATGCAATTCTAAACAAATATTGTTTATAAAAAATTTTGACACGATCGATAATTATTAAGATAACCTCAAAATATCGCTTTTATATCAATATGTAGCGCCACCTGGTGCAGTTATCAAATTTTTCTATTAAAATAAACGATTTCAAATGATATTTTAAAGAAGTATTGTAGGAAACATTTTTCGATAAAACCAATACTTTCCTTTGAAATGATTTAAACTGCCTTGATATGTAGCGCATCGTACTATTCACAGGGAAATTAAAATTGCGTTATTTTGAAAAATGTTATTAACAAAAATTGTTTGTAATTCAATTCTAAACAAATATTGCTTATAAAAAATTTTGACACGATCGATAATTATTGAGATAACCTCAAAATATCGCTTTTATATCAATATGTAGCGCCACCTGGTGGAGATATCAAATTCTTTTATTAAAATAATCGATTTAGAATTGTATTTTAAACAAATATTGTAGGAAACATTTTTCGATGAAACCAATACTTTTCTTTGAAATGGTTTAAACTGCCATGATGGCGCATCGTACTATTCACAGGGAAATTAAAATTGCGTTATTTTGAAAAATGTTAATAATAAAAATTCTTTGGAATTCAATTCTAAACAAATATTGTTTATAAAAAATTTGGATACGATCGATAATTATTAAGATAACCTCAAAATATCGCTTTTATATCAAAGTGTAGCGCCACCTGGTGGAGATATCAAATTTTTTTATTAAAACAATCGATTTAGAATTGTATTTTAAACAAATATTGTAGGAAACATTTTTCGATAAAACCAATACTTTCCTTTAAAATGGTTAAACTGCCTTGATCTGTAGCGCATCGTACTATTCACAGGGAAATTAAAATTGCGTTATTTTGAAAAATGTTATTAATAAAAATTGTTTGGAATTCAATTCTAAACAAATATGGTTGATAAAAAATTTTGACACGATCGATAATTATTAAGATAACCTCAAAATATCGCTTTTATATCAATGTGTAGCGCCACCTGGTGGAGATATCAAATTTTTTTATTAAAATAATCGATTTAGAATTGTATTTTAAACAAATATTGTAGGAAACATTTTTCGATAAAACCAATACTTTCCTTTAAAATGGTTAAACTGCCTTGATATGTAGCGCATCGTACTATTCACAGGGAAATTAAAATTGCGTTATTTTGAAAAATGTTATTAACAAAAATTGTTTGTAATTCAATTCTAAACAAATATTGTTTATAAAAAATTTTGACACGATCGATTATTATTAAGATAACCTCAAAATATCGCTTTTATATCAATGTGTAGCGCCACCTGGTGGATATCAAATTTTTTAATTAAAATAAACGATTTAAAATTAAATTTTGAACAAATGTTATACGAAACATTTTTCGGTAAAACCAATACTTTTCTTTGAAATGGCTTAAACTGAATTGATATATAGCGCATCGTACTATTCACAGGGAAATTAAAATTGCGTTATTTTGAAAAATGTTATTAACAAAAATTGTTTGTAATTCAATTTTAAACAAATATTGTTTATAAAAAATTTTGACACGATCGATTATTATTAAGATAACCTCAAAATATCGCTTTTATATCAATGTGTAGCGCCACCTGGTGGAGATATCAAATTTTTTAATTAAAATAAACGATTTAAAATTAAATTTTGAACAAATGTTGTACTAAACATTTTTCGGTAAAACCAATACTTTCCTTTAAAATACTTAAATTGTCTTGTTATGTAGCGCATCGTACTATTCACAGGGAAATTAAAATTGCGTTATTTTGAAAAATGTTATTAACAAAAATTGTTTGTAATTCAATTATAAATAAATATTGTTAATAAAAAATTTGGATACGATCGATAATTATTAAAATAACCTCAAAATATCACTTTTATATCAAAGTGTAGCGCCACCTGGTGGAGATATCAAATTCTTTTATTAAAATAAACGATTTAAAATTGTATTTTAAAGAAATATTGTAGGAAACATTTTTCGATAAAACCAATACTTTCCTTTAAAATGGTTAAACTGCCTTGATATATAGCGCATCGTACTATTCACAAGGAAATTAAAATAGCGTTATTTTGAAAAATGTTATTAATAAAAATTGTTTGTAATTCAATTCTAAACAAATATTGTTTATAAAAAATTTGGATGCGATCGATAATTATTGAGATAACCTCAAAATATCGCTTTTATATCAATGTGTAGCGCCACCTGGTGGAGATATCAAATTTTTTTATTAAAATAATCGATTTAGAATTGTATTTTAAACAAATATTGTAGGAAACATTTTTCGATAAAACCAATACTTTCCTTTGAAATGGCTTAAATTTTCTTGATATGTAGCGCACCATACTGTTCAGAGGGAAATTAAAATTGCGTTATTTTGAAAAATGTTATTAACAAAAATTATTTGTAATGCAATTCTAAACAAATATTGTTTATAAAAAATTTTGACACGATCGATAATTATTAAGATAACCTCAAAATATCGCTTTTATATCAATATGTAGCGCCACCTGGTGGAGATATCAAATTCTTTTATTAAAATAATCGATTTAGAATTGTATTTTAAACAAATATTGTTGGAAACATTTTTTGATAAAACCAATGTTTTCCTTTGAAATGATTTAAATTGCCTCGATATGTAGCGCATCGTACTATTCACAGGGAAATTAAAATTGCGTTATTTTGAAAAAATGTTATTAACAAAAATTGTTTGTAATTCAATTCTAACCAAATATTGTTTATAAAAAATTTTGACACGATCGACAATTATTAAGATAATCTCAAAATATCGCTTTTATATCAATGTGTAGCGCCACCTGGTGGAGATATCAATTTTTTTAATTAAAATAAACGATTTAAAATTGTATTTTAAAGAAATATTGTAGGAAACATTTTCTGATAAAACCAATACTTTTCTTTGAAATGATTTAAACTGCCTTGATATGTAGCGCATCGTACTATTCACAGGGAAATTAAAATTGCGTTATTTTGAAAAATGTTATTAACAAAAATTGTTTGTAATTCAATTCTAAACAAATATTGTTTATAAAAAATTTTGACACGATCGATAATTATTAAGATAACCTCAAAATATCGCTTTTATATCAATGTGTAGCGCCACCTGGTGGAGATATCAAATTTTTTTATTAAAACAATCGATTTAGAATTGTATTTTAAACAAATATTGTAGGAAACATTTTTCGATAAAACCAATACTTTCCTTTGAAATGATTTAAACTGCCTTGATATGTAGCGCATCGTACTATTCACAGGGAAATTAAAATTGCGTTATTTTGAAAAATGTTATTAATAAAAATTGTTTGTAATTCAATTCTAAACAAATATTGTTTATAAAAAATTTGGATACGATCGATAATTATTAAGATAACCTCAAAATATCGCTTTTATATCAATGTGTAGCGCCACCTGGTGGAGATATCAAATTTTTTTATTAAAATAAACGATTTAAAATTGTATTTTAAAGAAATATTGTAGGAAACATTTTTCGATAAAACCAATACTTTCTTTTCGAATGGTTTAAACTACCTTAATATGTAGCGCACCATACTATTCAGAGGGAAATTAAAATTGCGTTATTTTGAAAAATGTTATTAATAAAAATTATTTGTAAATCAATTCTAAACAAATATTGTTTATAAAAAATTTTGACACGATCGATAATTATTGAGATAACCTCAAAATATCGCTTTTATTTCAATATGTAGCGCCACCTGGTGGAGATATCAATTTTTTTAATTAAAATAATCGATTTGGAATTGTATTTTAAAGAAATATTGTAGGAAACATTTTTCGATAAAACCAATAGTTTCCCTTGAAATGATTTAAACTGCCTTGATATATAGCGCATCGTACTATTCACAGGGAAATTAAAATTGCGTTATTTCGAAAAATGTTATTAATAAAAATTGTTTGTAATTCAATTCTAAACAAATATTGTTTATAAAAAATTTTGACGCGATCGATAATTATTAAGATAACCTCAAAATATCGCTTTTATATCAATATGTAGCGCCACCTGGTGGAGATATCAAATTTTTTTATTAAAATAATCGATTTAAAATTGTATTTTAAACAAATATCGTAGGAAACATTTTTCGATAAAACCAATACTTTTCTTTGAGATGGTTTAAACTGCCATGATAGCGCATCGTACTATTCACAGGGAAATTAAAATTGCGTTATTTTGAAAAATGTTATTAACAAAAATTGTTTGGAATTCAATTCCAAACAAATATTGTTGATAAAAAATTTTGACACGATCGATTTTGTTCACAGGGAAATTATTTTTTGGGATTTTAAAAAGAATAAGTAAAGTAAATTTACCTTTGGGCATTTCAAAAATCCAAAGTGCTGCATA